TTTCTGAGCAATTATAGCATGCACTCCATGCATGGGTATTTGGATATTTACATTTGGAACAGAATAAGTAGCAAAGCGAGGCTAAAACATAGCAATGGCACGTGCAACAAATATAAAATGGCACAAGTCGGCATGTGTTTTATGGGCCACGGGTACATGCACCGCCCGTATATACGGCCATGTCCAAGCTATTGGCCTAGGAGCCGTCAAGGAGGAGGCACACGAGGGCCAAGGCGGTTGATCAACGTGGAGACCAAGGTAAGCCAAGAATATCCAGGATAGGCGTATCTAGACGATAGCTAGGATCAATCTGTTGTGTATTCCATGTAACAAATTAGGAATCCAATCTGTTAGTCCGATCGTGCTCATTGTAACCCTACCTCCTCTATCTATATAAAAGAGGAACAACAACTCCTATAATTGAGCATACGAATACAAAAGCAGCAGCACCACTGGAGTAGGGTTTAACGTGCACCACGTCCCGAACCAATATAAATCCTTGTGTTTTATGTGCTACCATTCGATCCTGTCTACGCGATCATATTGCTAGGCATTGCCGAAGCTAATTCATCATTCAGCATGTATTAGAAGCAGTCCAATCATTGGACAGACAGAAGAGCTGTAGCCTCTAGCACAAGATAGAGACTGTTCTGCCTACTTACCAATGGGCAACGGGTGGGTGGTGAGAAATTTCGCTGTTTGACACATAATTATACGTACGTCTTATTGACTTAACCTCTAATCTATGTATCTTTCAATATTAAACATTATGTGCATACAATTTGTCTCAGTTCATGTGTCTCCCCTTATATCTATGATAATAGAAATATCTAAATTGGAAAAAGAAAATCGCGTGCGGAGGAATACCTGAATCGAAACATAATGAGTCGTGTTAAATACGAAAAGACATGCGAATTCGATGTCAAGATCAGTAAGGAATGTCAGTATCAAATATCGAAAATTCTCATCGGTAATTATTAACTCAGTTATGCTTAAATCAGACTCTGCAGAACTGTTTATCTATCCTCCAGAGTAGCTTATACCACGGTGCACGGCCAACTAGTTTGTCTGGTGCCCAAGTAATCAAGTATTGGACCTTGCTGACTTCTCCGCAACAGCCCCGAACCTTGGACGACCAATCGGGCTGTGGTATGCGCACGTGTGCTTTCTTGACGACTTTGACGATGCATCCGCTGAGGTCACGACCGGCGAAGCCGAACATCCGCGGTTACTAATACTGACTCCGTGACTCGTGAGTCCGTTCGTCCTGTGGCGGACTGGCGGTGGCACGGCGGCAGCGGAAAGTCACCGTGATGGGGATCGTGTCGTGACCCTGCCAAATTGCCGACCTTTCAACGGGATCCGCGTCCACGAAAACCAGGACGACATGCGCAGCGCACGCGAGAAAACGTCGCACCGCGCCGTGCGTGCCGGGGTGAGACTTGAGAGCGCGGCGCAGCAGAGGCGCGAGCGACAGTACAGAGCGAGCAAGACGTGCTCGCTGGCCATGGAAATATTTAGACATGCATGAACCGTGGAATGCAGTGACATGACGCACTTATCCTGAACCTGAGCTGATTGACTGAAAAAAAACTGCAATCCATCTAGTTAACACCCTCTGTTCTTTTGTTTTCATGTTCAGCTTAGGATCGCTTGACGATGAATAATATCATCTGAAGAGTAAACAGGTTTGCGACTGCATTGCGTCTGCCAGACAGTGAGTGCCCGATATGGAACTGACAGAGACGGCGCTGTCATACTCGAACCACCGTTGATCACCGGACAAGCAAACCAGGGCGCGACAGTACTAAGACACCTGTTAGCTGAGACTTGACACTAACGGGATTTGTGAGGACGCCCTTCATCATGCACGGATCCTATTTGGCCATTCTTCGTTTTACCTGGTCTGACGTATAAAAAACAAAGCAGCTTGGCTTCAGACGATCATCATGTGATGCCGATGAGGAAGAACACGGAGGACGACTCGCTGGTGATGCTGTACGTGAAGTACACTACACCTCGTCGGCGGTGTCCACGTAGGCCGGTTTCAGCAGTACCTTGGTCCACGGATCCATGTCGATCAGAGGCTCAGAGCAGTCAGCGCCGACAGGAGCTGCCCTAACCTCCCGTACGGACATGACCAATACCACGAAGGGGTCCATGTTGATGGAGTACGAGCCGGGGCTCGGATCGATCAGGCTCTTGTTCGAGATGAACTGGCAGCTGAAATCCTTGCCGCCGGTGAGCTTGGTCCGGCCGATCTTGGCGCCTGGGAGCCCGACGTCGGTTGGGTAGTCGAAGCTTCGCTACAGGTATATATCTTGTGGGTCCTGAAGCAGAAGATTAGCTTTCTGTTTGTGGTAGGAAGGGCAAAGTTGCCGGTGTTGATGAGCACGACATGGACACTACTTTTCCGAAGAAAATACTAGAGCACAGCGTAACCCTTGGCGGCCGATAGTCTTTCAATATGTCAGATGCATCAAGGGAAATTCCCATGGCACCTGGTTAGAGGGCTGAATACACTACAACGTACTTTTCTTATTGTTCACTGACTTTAAATAATAATAATTATTCTCTCGATTTATCAAGCATTCCTTTTTCCATTTTGATTGAAGCCTCCATCCAAGTATGCATGCATTCTTAGCGAAGAGCAGTACTGCAGTAGCCAGTAGTGGCTCCACGAGGCGGCTACGTGTTACGTGGGCTTAACAGCAGGAGCATGTCGCTGTAGCCTGTAAGCCACTGGCCCGTGGTCACAGACAGGCCCTCCCATCCTCGCCTCGCCCGGTCGCCCCTTGGCGGGCCCCGTGAGAACCGACAGTGTGCCTTGCCGCAGCCCGCTTCACTCCCGTCGCACGCACTCCCACCGCACGTTGCCGGCAGCCTTCCTTCCATGGACGTTGCGGCCCGCTGGATCGTCCGCGAAACCGACGTGCTACCCAGGCAGTCGCGCTAGACTGTTGAACCGTGCCATGCTGCGTGAGGTGAGCCTTCACGCCTTGAGCTCTGCTCTCCGCCTCTCCCTACCGGATGGATCGTGTGCGTGCCCGATCACGTCGGCGCAACCCCGACGCTGGCGCACGCGCAACATGGCCGGGAATCCGGATCGATTCCGCGGCTGCGAGCGGGTAAGGTTAGGCTATGTTGGCGTTCAATAATCGTGGTTGGTTACACAGACGCGACGACGACGTTGATTGGATTCTTTGCGAGAAAGGGGCGAGAACTAGAGGAGTTGCTTGCTGATGATAGGTTGATGGCGAGGGCTGTGTTGGAGTATCCTGCCTGCAATGATTCTTCTTCAACCTATCCGTTACAAACGAAACGGTCTGCTACGACCGGAGCCCGAAGCGTGACACGTGTTCGCCTTCCTTCCTGCCGTGGGCGGTGGGCCCCCTCTTGCGCCACCGAGTTCGATGCTCACGAACACACCTGACACCTCTTGCGCCATCATCGAGTTCGATGCTCACGAGGAAGTTTTCCATGGACGGTTTTGGATCTTCGCCCGTACAGTGCCATCGTACGTCCCTTCTTCGCTCTCCAGCAATCAGCATAGGGGGATTCGTCTGATCTCATATCAAACAGGCAGAGGCAGGCAAGCTCGATCGATCACCATGTGCTTTCTTCTGCGGCGTTATCTTCCACTCGTCGTTCACTGTTGATCGCGGGGCAAGGGCAAAGCAAACTTGTGCCCTACGTACAGTATCGATCGTACCGCTAGGTTTGTTGAGACTTTACACTAACGTGACAGCGCCCTTCCGCATGCATGCACTAGCACTAGTTATATTCCACTAATAAGGCCTTGTTTAGATTGCCTCAAAGTTTCAAGTTTTTTCACTCTCTCTATCACATCAATTTTTGAACGCATGCATGGAACATTAAATGTAGGTAAAAAAAGTAACTAATTGTATAGTTTGGTTGTAAATCACGAGACGAATCTTTTGAGCCTAGTTAGTCCATGATCGGACAAAGTTTGTCAAATACAAACGAAACGTGGTACAGTATCCCGATTGCAAAAATTTGTAATCTAAACGAGGCCTAAACCGGGCCAAATCACCAGCTTGTTGATTATTCCACCTATAGGGAATAAAGTTGAGACCCATGTCAGCGCTACAGGTTTGTGTTCACCCCTGCCGTAGCAGCGGGTAGTAATCGCCACATGCGGCGGTGGACGCCCATACAAGCATTCGTGTCAGCCGTCAGCTCAAGTTGAGTCGCGGAGAGAGGTGCACCTGCACGATGTGGCTACGTGTTCCGCGCACCGCACAAGCCTTGCAGCCGTAGACCGTAGTAGCCTGGTGTGGTAGGCCAGCCACAGGCAGCTCTCGGTCTCGGCTCTCGCGTCGCCTGTCGCACCGTGCGGTGCGGGGGCCCGTGAGAGCCGGCAGTGTGCCGCACGGCGCGCAGCGCACCAGTCGAACCGCTCCGCCGGAACGGAAGGACCTGGTCCAGGGACCCCCGGCCCACGTGCTCCAAGGCTGACATCCCGGGCCCGCCGCCACCTGAGAATTCCAAACGAACCCACCACCGTCCGGCCGGCTTGTTATGTTGCTCCGGCTCGCTCGCTGCCGGCGGGCCCCGCCGGGCAGCTCCGGTCCCGTGGAAACGTCTACTCCTGCCCTTTACACAAGTCGAGTCACCCACCGGCCGCCAAGCCTCCGACGCGTGTGTCCTGCTCCTGCCCCGCGGAATTACCCGAACTGCCCCCTCCGGCCTCCGCACGCCCCACCCGTCACGGCCTCGCGTCCGTGGCCTGCCGTCTTTGTTTGCCTGGCTTGCCCCCGTAACAAAAACGCTGCGCGCAGACGACCACACCACCGTCTCTTTCTACCTCGGCCCTCCCTCTTCGCTTTCCTCCACCGCCGCGCCGCCTCGACGTTCCCCGCCGGCGAGCCGACCGCCGCAGCCAGCGCTGCTGCGCCAGGCGCCTGGTGCCCGCTGCCTCTGCTTCTCCCGTTGCGTCGCCTCGCCTCGCCGCAGTGCGCGGACGGCCGCGAGGACCCATGGCGGCGACCGCGGATCCGAGGGCGAAGCCGCCGCACGCAGCGTCACACCACCTCAAGCCGTGGGCGCCCCCGCCGCCGCCTCGCACCCACCGCGTGGCTTCTTCCCTCCCGGGCCCGGCAGTAACCGGGGGAGGCGCCGCGCGCGATCGGCGCCGCTCCTCGTCGCACCGACGTGTCGGCGCCGGCGCCGACGCCGGCACCGTGCAGGAGGAGCTGCCGTGTGACGGCCGGATAAAAGATCTCCGTGCCAAGCTCATGGGCCACCTCCGCGACGCGGCCGACCGCCTCCATCTGCCGCCCCCGCCCCCGTCGCCGCCTAAGCCGCAGCAGCCCCGGCCGCCGGGACCGGGTCCCGAGCCGGCAGCGCCACCGCTTCCAGAGCCGACGCCGTCACAGCAGCAGCAGCAGGAGGCTACGGCCGCCAGGCCGTGGAACCTGCGTGACCGCAAGTGCCTCCGACCAACGGCACGCGGGGCGGCAGCGGCAGCCGCACTCGACGCGTCGTCGCCCGCGTGGGGGGAGGTCGGCGGGGCGGAGAAGGCGCGGCGCTCCATCGTGCCCCAGGAGCGCGCGCCGTTCGCGGTGGCGCTGACGGCCGAGGAGGTGGAGGAGGACGTGTACGCGCTGACCGGCGCCCGGCCGCGGCGGCGTCCCCGGAAGCGTCCTCGCGTCGTGCAGCGGCAGCTCGATGTAAGGCCAATTCCCCATACTGCCCCTCGTGCTCCTCCCTTCATATTATTATCCGCTCGATACGCTTTTAGCCTCTCTGCTTAGCGAGCACAAATATCACTATTATATATATACTCTCGTCATCGAATAAACAACCAATTCTTGTTCGGAAGAACACAACACTGCCACCGATCGATCCAGCTAATCTCACTCTGGCTGTTGTCCCGTGCAGTCGCTGTTCCCCGGGCTGTGGCTGACAGAGATCACCGCCGACGCCTACAAGGTCGCCGACGAGTAGCAAGGAGCAGCAGCTGCACAGCCCGCCACCTGCTCCGGCGTCGGCCGGCCGGCCGGCCGTCCAGCTAGTTGTTCGCCATTCTACCCTTGTCATGAGAAGAGTCGCCAAAAACATTAAGCATAATCTTTCTGTAAGTAGGTCTAGTCGATTTGATGATAGGTGCTTGCGTCCGCATCCGCTCGCCATGTCCCATCGCTTGTAACACTTTTTTTCCCCTTAAAAAGATCTAAGCAGTGTGTCGTCCATCGATCTCGATCGATCTCTCGCTCTCTGCCAGTGCGGTTGCATGCTTGTAACCCACTCCGAGATCCTTATCACTCGCAGCCTCTGCAACTCTGTCTCAAGTTGCTCGGTTTCATGATCGGCGCAGGGCAGGGCATGTCAGGGGAGGGACAGCACGAATTGTGCTAAGCTTTTCGCGGGACCTTTGCTTGGCCTCGCGTTCTTTCCCTATGCCGGGACGGCTCGGCAATGGCCCATGCATACTACAAAGCGCAAATCAGCGTACTCCTACCTCTGAGATCACCTTCCTTGACAGTCTCATATACCAGTATGTATGTTTAAGATTCCAAGATCAAGTACTGGTACCAGGTACCGCCAGGGACTCAAATTCATGCAACGCGGCATCCGTTGATGGCGCAGGGACTGCTATGCCATGGTACCACGCAGGCACGCACGTAGTACAGCCGCCGTTGATGCACGAGCCCGCATGACTGGTCAGCTTCACATGACGTTCCTCTCCTCGGCTGCAGTCGAAACGAGATGTGCCAACTGCCAACCCAGTACTGGAGTCTGGAGTCGGGTTTGGTTTTACCGTTCCGTGCGCTCGCCGCCGGTTCTTCTCTTCGTTTCGTCTGGAATGACTTATAAGTTATGATTAAAAGTACCGCTAATAAATTTAGTATAAAAAAATACTATTATCTAGCTAATAAGTTAAGGCTTATAAGTCAGATATAGGCTGCCGAACAGGAGCTCGTATATATACCGCGATTAAAAGGCGACAGTTACGGCGCGCGTAAATCGACGGCACGGTGTTGTCGGGGCGCAGGGCCGGACGCCCGGTCCCGCTCGTCAGCCGTACTAGGAGCCTGTACTTAACTGCTATAGCGACAGACGAGCCACCAGCCCGCCGCCAACACTCGTGGGGCCAGATTTAGAGCCCGAGGCCCACCTGTATATGGGAGAGTCTCTCGTGCATTTTGCTGTAGCTGGGCCAGGGTGGTGGAGCAGAGGAGCACGCAGCACGCTGCACGCTGCACGCCCCCAACGTTATCTTTTAATTAGGTCCCGTTTGGTCCTTAAACTGAAAAATGAATTACTCAAGATTTGATTCGATTCAATTTCTTGTTTGAGTGTACAAGAAATTCTTTTCTTTTCTACTGACTAGTTTCGAATGTTTTTTGGAGGATTAAAATATGAATTCTCCAAAGACAACACTCTCACCACATAGACCACAAACATATTTTGCTAGCTACGGATTGCTTGGCTCATCATTCTCGGAGCAATCCAGCTGCTGCATATCCCAATGCTTTATTTGATATAAAGCTAGCTTCTCCCTCCTCAATAATTAGCAACATTTTTTTTGTCTCTGATTCGGCGAGCTTTGGCCCTGGACATTGACGAAGCTCATATATCCGATCACCTAGACCTGTATGATCGTCCTAGTTAGGTATGCCCTCTCACGCAGCCGCCACATCCTCCAGCGCCTGCATCACGTAGCACATGGACAGACAGAAGCATCGACGGTCAGTCTGTTCGGTTGGCTGGTTCGTATCGTTGCTGGTTCGTGAAGAAGTACCGTTGGCTGATTTGTGTGAGAGAAAAATACTGTTCCAGCTGGAAATTTACGATCGTATACGACAAGCACAAGCGAAACAAACAGGCTGGGTGTCTGGCTGGAGCACCCGCACGATCTCCTAAGTCCTAACTGGATTAATATGAAGTGACCTAGATCGATCCTTTAAGATTAGTGGTTCTTGGATGGTTTGGGGCATGGTCTTAACTTGATTAATATATCAATAATAAAGTAATGACCTAGATAAAACAAAATATGACCAACTTAAATTGTTAATCACAGTATACCGAGTCAAGCTGTTAAGCCTTTATAAACCCATTTGTTATACTTGTTAAATATGGTTTGCTTGTAGGTTTTATATCCAACAAAATTTCAGATGGGTACCAAATGCCAGCTTCGATGAGTTCACTAAATAGTTATTGGACTTTCTAGGCAGGTGGTTCCCCGACCTAATTTTTTACAATTTGACCTTTTTTTGAAGAAAATTTACGTTTGACCCCCTGGGAGACTTAAACTCATCTTTGGACCCTGGGGGTCGGCACCAGGAATCATGGCGCCGAGGTAACACGTCTCGGCGCCACAGATCTTGGCGCCGAGGTGCCTGGCCGAGCACAGCAAGCCATCCTAGGTGGCGTTCACGTGGCGGCACCTCGGCGCCACAGATCTTGGCGCCGAGCTCGGCGCCATGTATTATGGCGCCGAGCATTGATTTAAAATCCAAAACCAAGTTTCCCTTGCCGACGCTGCTCTCATTCGTTCATCCCCCTCTCGGTTTCTTCCTCGTCGTACCCCCGCCCAATCTCTTGAATCGACGCATTTAACCTTGGATACTTGGATTTGATCCATACATCTTTGTGAGCAAGGTATCCTCTCTCCCCTTATCAAAATTTACGCATTGATTTGGTTTATATCACGTCTATTTTGCAACCCTAGATACGTTAGTATCTAATGTTTGAAGTGATTTTTTATTTTTCGTATTATGTGACGGTAAGATGTCAAGGCGTGATAAAGCTAGTAAGCAAAGGTAATCTCTTATCATCGTGTTATATTATTTTTTTATTTTTTGTATTATGTTTTATTTTTTGTATTTATGTTCAATTGTAGTTATGGCCGAATGACCGGAAATGCCTTCGACCCGTTGCCTCTGCCTAGTGGTGTTCCAGTGCCCATGTGCTTTTACGACGATCCTTGCAAGGTAGCCAAGTCCGATGAGGAGGACACGTATAGGCAGAGGTATTGGATGTGTGCCAATTTTGCATTTGAGCCTACACTTCATCAGCACCGCATTAACGAGATTGTGAGAAATTAATGTTGTTTAATATTTATTGTGTCAAATGAAGTCTTGCATGATTTATTTGTTTTGTAACCATTGCATTTGTTGCAGACCCCTCCACCGCTCTGTGATTTTAAGCAGTGGATCGACACTGAGATCAAGCCGGAAGACAATGAGTGGATGCAGAAACTGTTACGGTGGGAGGCAGAGGACAATAAAATGATGGAGAAGAGACGCAGAGAGGAGGCTCTAGAAAAGGAGCACAATGAAGAGGAGGAAAGGAGGCGTGTTGCTTCGCACAGGGAGGAGAGGGAGAGGAAGCTTGAGCGTGCGTAGCGAGCGAAGGCAGCGATGGAGGAGAATCCCGATGCCCAGAGAAAGGGAAAGTGGCCTCGTTGCACTCAGTAATCTTCATAAGTTGCTATTTCTATGGTATATTCACGAACAATGTTGTCTAATCTTGGACTTTGCATTGTGTTGTCATGTAATACACTTTTAGTTTGTCGTCATGTACTTCAAATGTTGTTATGTTGATTAATGTGCTCTATTATTGGACCTTTCATAGTGTTGTTGGTTTTATTATTTGTTGTCATAATATTCAGTTTAATATTGCATAGGTAGTGAAACGAGGTCACGTAGTGCAAATAAAACGTAACGAAGTAGTTGATTATCTAATTCAACACACACAACACATAAAATGTCATGTGAGAACATGTACGAAACTAGGGTACAGAGGTCCTGGACTAAACCTAACATGCCTTAGGTAATTGAAACAAACAATAAACTCATGAAATGGCATGTGAGAACATGTGCCAAACAAGGGTACATATTTCCTTCGACTAACCCTAACATGCCTTAGATGATTAAAGCAAAAAACAAACACATGGATGTCGTCCGTTAAAAAGATTGGTTTGTCCTAATAATGTAGCCACATAGCAAATTGTGTTGCACCTTCCCCAAAATATCCTCCTATTGTTGGTGGTGGTGGCGGCGGAGGACCCTTGTTCCTATAATTAGGGCAGGTGCAATATGGATCATTGCAAAGTGCCTCTTGTGAATTGGCACCATTGTTGTCGTCTTCCTGTTCGTCGTCTTTGTAACCACTGCTAACTTCCCTTTCTGGATGTGTTTATTTATGTAATCCAATGGTTGTTCTGATTTTTAGCAAGCAGCTCATGCTCATGCAACAAATATCTCCTTCATTTCTAGACTACCTTTAAAACATATGCGTGGTGGACTGGGCAGTTTAGTTTCAGTGGCAATTTTAAGTTCTATTGTAGCCGATTGAATTCTTGATTACTTAATAAAGTTCAAAGACGCTTACTTGTGCAAGTCTATTGACGTCGAGAACGGTTCCACGGGCCACTCATGCCTCAACCCAAACTGGCGTGCAACCCGGTGTGGCAGGTGGAACTCAACCGCATAGAAACAGATCAACGGACACTTCATTAGGTAGTCTTCGTCCATCTTGCACATGATGCTGAACCCAATGTGCTCATACTGTTCGTCCTCGTATGGCTCCCAAGTCACTTGCATTTGATTCTTCAGTCACGTAGTGCTTACATCGGAAAAATAAATTAGTATGTGAAATACAGCTAACTCACCTGCCCTGGCGTGAGTGCGTCGAGCTCGTTCGCGAACTCGATGTAGGCGCGTTTACTCCAGGCGAAGGGACCCTTAACCTGGTCCCAAAGGTAGGCATACGTCAGCCGACGTCGAATCCTTTGCATTCCAATAAAACTGGCACCCTTTGCATTCCAACAAAACTGACATTACCAAACTCATCTTCCTCCACACTTCCTCCATGATACAGGGTGACTACGTTGTTCATCTAGTTGGTATGCACATCAACCAAGTTATTACGGATATATTATTATAAGATAACTAACAATAATATCTAACTACATTTGCTAACTAAATTACCTAACTATC